GCTCTCTAATTAGCCTGTGTAGCCGATAAATGCCCTAGCAATGATGCCAGGGCCGGAGCAGCAGGGAGCACTGCCCACGGGGAAGGGAAGTCCGGATGTATTATGAAGTCTTTCCCCCGGGACAGTTATAAATAGTGTCATGACATGCAAAGGAGAAGCATATATAAAAGTTATCTGTCCCTTCTGTGGGTTACAAACGTTTGGCTCATTTGCAGACTGTCCACAAAGGTTATAAATAGAGTCGCCACTACCCTGGGTGGGAGAAGGGGCTCGTTTTCATGCTCCCAGAGTCTCTCTTGCCCTCCTTGGACCAAGACGCTGGGTGTGATGATAAAATGTATGCCTGGGACCTTGGTGGCTGGCTCCCAGGCTCCTACCTCTAGCCAATCGCTTATAAAGAGTCTCCTGCCTTCTGCAACCCGGTCCTGCATGTCATCCCACAGGGAGGCTCCATGCAGAGGAGTCTGACCTATTCCTCCTTTCCCAGCATGCTTGAAACCACAGACACGAGTGCCCTGAGGCATCTGCTCCCAATCATCAGGACATCCCCCCACAGTCACCCCCCTACCCCAAAGCGGCTCCTGGGTCTGGCAGGAAGTGTGGACAATTCACCCAGCAGAGCCCTGGCTGCTGCTCTGCCCTTCTGCAGAGAAGACCTCCATGACAGCGAGGGCAGGGGAACAGAAGGGCTGGGACCGGTGAGCCCACTCAATCATTCAGGCTGGAAGCTGGGGGTGGGCCTCTGTGAGGTCAGCAAAGAGGTACAAGTTGGCCCTAAGGGGCCCCACTCTCTTGGAAGAGCGAACGGCCGATACAGAGAAGGCCGCCCTTTTCAGGGTAGCCTCCCACGAGGGGGCCTGAAGAAAGGAAGCCACGCATGGAGTAGACAGGGAAGCCCCAGCATATCCATTCCTCCACCCACGGCCCGGGTGACCCCAGCAACAAGGCCCCCAGGGGGAGCTGGAAGAGCGGAGGGGCAGGAAGTTGGTGGGGAGGGCAGGAGTGGGGCACAAGAGGGGAAGAGGATGGGCTCTACCTGGGCAGTGAAACTCAGACAGATTGTGAGGCCGGAGGCGGTTAAGTGGTTTGAGGTTGTGCAAAATTGGTGGAGACAGAGAACCACCCTGCTGCTGTCCCAGCATTTCCCAGCCTCCCCTGGGCTGACCCCACAGCCCAACGCCCGAGGTCCCTGAGCCACCGATGACTTGCCAGCTGGATGGGGGCACCAGCTCAGACACCAGCAGGATGGCAAGGTGGGGAGGGGGCATCCACAGAGTCCCCAGCTCTCTCTGGACTCAAGTGGAAAGAGCACAGCAGGCAGGGTAAGACCACAAAGTGGGTGTGCCTCAAACCAGCTCTGGGAGAAAATAAAGCATGCCAAGAACGACTCCCCAAATCCTCATTCCTTAATCCTGACCAGCACTAATGTAGTAGAGACAATGCCACTAAGACTCCTCAACAGGACCTCTAGACCTGGCCTATGATGGTGGCTAAGGCCTCAAGGGTAAATCCACCCATAAGGAAAACACCTGGACGCTCATTCGGTTCGGGGATAACCCAGTAGCACCAGAAGCCACAGCCTTGGCGTGATCACAAACAGCTCTCCTCTTACCGCAGCCCATCTTCCTTCCCCATCATCACCTGAGGCATGTGAGAGCAGAGCCAAGGACCATTCCGTCCTGATTTCTTATCTCCTCAGGCTGGCTCCCTTTTGCATTAACTGACTATGCTCAGGGGTCATGCCATTTTCCTTCTCAAGAGAGCCAGGCCTGCATGGTGAATTCCTCCCCCAGTAACAGATATCAGCCAAAGACAGGCAAACAGGAAGGCCACAGCCCCGTGGAAAAGAGCAGAGAACTTCCGAAAGCAGCAGCTCAAGCACAAGGTTAGTTAGCAGTCTTCATCATTTGGGGAAAAGAAAGTGTGTCCCTCTCCCCAGGGCCTTTGAGTGGGAACTGCCACCATCAGTGCAGAATAACCCAGTCTGGGTGGGGTGCCTGAGGCCACCCTGTCCACCCTCCTGCTTCCAGACCAGTTAGCAAAGCCAACCAGACACAGAGAGTTCTCCAGCAAAAGAGGCTGTTACCCGTCCCTCCCCAGGGTCCACTGAACATCTGAGTTCCCCCAGCTGTTGATTCTTCATTCTGAGCTAAACCCTCTTGTCACAACAGAGTCCATTTTCTCTGCAAGGCTGGAGAACAAATGTTCACCTCCCCTACAACAGACCCATGCTATAGGTGGTTTCCAGTCAGAAGACCCAGCCCCATCTCAGAACTTCTCCCCTCCGAGATACAACTTCTCGCTCCACTGACAAGTCTTAGTTCCCAAGCTATCAAGGCCCCAACTAATTCTGGAGCCAGAGTTAGATAACAGAGGAAAAAGACATCTCTTTTCCTCTCATCTTCATCATTAATAACAATAACAGTAGGTCCTGTATGGAGCGCCTTACACTAATTCACTCTCCCCACTTGACAGCTGCGGAGACAGGCTCAGAGAAGCTACATGGCTTGTCCAAGATCACACACTGGAGGTGGCAGAGCTAGGATTCAAACTTTGGTCTGCTTCTTTAAAACAATCCTATTTGCTCCCAGGAGGAGAGGGAATAGCTACCTTATCCCCTCCTGGGTCCACAGGGCCTGCCGCAGACACCCAGAAAATACTTGTTCCAATAATGACTCAGTGCCTGGATGGATAGAGGATGGAAGGGCTGGTGAGCGGGTGAGCCCTGCTCATCACAACCGATACCGACCCCAAGGTGCACAGGAGGTGGCCGCCTCACGAGCTGAGGCAGGCAGGACTTCCCGGGTTGCTGCTCCCTCCATTCTTCCATCAGCCAGAGGGTCATCGATTTAAAATTAGGCAAAGCCCACCCCTTGGATCACCTCACCCTTCCTTTGCGCCAGAGTCTGCTGTCTCCGGCTCTGGGAAAGCCCCTTTCCCTGAATACTCCATCAGGGAGGCACCTGCTCTAGCAGCAACCCTCCCGCCCCATTAAAACAAATGTGCACAGACCAATCCCACGCTGGGAGCTGTCTCTAGGAAGGGCCATTCCCCTAAGAGCTCTGACCACAGGGTTCACTAAAAGAGAGGGTGCTTGTCTTGCCCCTTCTCCCCACCCCCCCCAGCACTTGGGCCTTCATCAGCTTCCCCCAGCAAGGGCTCCTGGTCCCCAGGGGGTGCCTGGAGGGAGCCGGGATTGTGCCCAGGGCAGCTGCCAGGCCTGCCGAGGCTAGCAGCCCCCTCTCCCAGAGCGCCCAGTGGGAGAAGGCAGCGAGCAGAAGGACCTGCAGATTCAGAGGCTCATTACAGGGAATGACTAAGTGAGCTGCGATTCCCGGGGAAACCCCACTCGCTCCGGCTCACAGAGGGGCTCAAATCCTTGAGCCATTTAGACGAAGGCAGCTTCCAGGAGCTGCCCGGGGCTGGGGCAGTCCTCTCTGGGCAGCCAGGTCCCTGGGGGACCCTCCACCTGGAAGTCTTGATTCTGGTTATTCAGGTCATCTGACAGGTCTGCCCCACCCCTTTCCAGAGCGGGCAAATCTGCCCATCCTCTGCTCCAGCTAGCGAGAGGCTGGGAATGGGGGAAATCCGATCAGCACCTCCTAGGTTTTTGTGGCTGGATTTCAACAAGGAATGTGACAGTCTCGCAGCAGCTGTGCCCAGCCTGAAACAAGCTCTATTTGAAACCTCCAACAGCTGAACCCCTCCCAGCTACCCGCTGCCCAAAATGACAAATAAGTAGAGAAATCCAAACAAGCAAGCCTGCACACACACACACACACACACACACACACTCACACCAACAAATTGGGGGTGAAGGGTAGAGTGGGAAAAAAATCCACTTGCCCAGTGACTCCCCAGGTCTCCAAGCCTTCAAGCTCGCAGCAGGAGGGCTCCCAGCAAGCAGAGCTTTGACAGAAACCCACCTTCCTCAAGCCCCACTCCCTTGGAGGACGCAATTTCCAAGCCCACTCGGGGAGGGAAACCCCCTCCTCCGTCTTGGGACTGGACAGAGGCTGGGGCAGTGGGGCCAGCTCCCCCGCTAAAGCCGTGCCGCCGTTCTTCATCGGGGCGCGCACTCACACACTCATCCGTATTTATCCGAAGAAGAAGGAGTTGGGGTGGGAGGGGAGAACTGGGGCTGAGCCGGGGGCATGAGCTCTCGGGGACTCCCAGGAAGCCCTGTCATCCCATCCGAAGAAGAGGCACTCCCCCCGACCCCAGCTGATGCCAAGGCGGCGCCCATCTGCTCTGCCCGGGTAACACCTGTAGCCATTTTTATCAGGGGATGTTTACAAGGCAGCAGCAGGTTTATTCTGAGTCCTCTTTCCTGAGAGAAAAGACCGCTGATTTCCTCCGCCTACATTTTTACCCCATGCCGCCAGGAGACTCAAGTCACGGGTGCTTTTCTATTTTGCCCTAAGTCTCTCAGGGATGAGGAGGGAAACAGAAACTTGGGAAGAGAGAGAGAAGACAGAGAGAGAAGGGACTGGCATGGAATCCCCACCACCCCCCCACCCGGACATTTATTTCTTTTTTATCCTCGGGAAAATGGAGTGGAGCAGGGAGGGGAGGAGAGGAGGGGAAGTCACAGGAACTGGCAAGCACATCAAGGCGGAGTGTAATTAATTGGTGCGTTAAGCTGCTAGGTTATGCTTTAGTACGAGTGAGCCAGGAGGAAAGATGATTTCTCAGAAGGGATTCTTTAATCCTCCCTAACAGAGTCTACAAATTAGACACAGTGTGTGGGGATGTCCCCCCTCCCAAGGAAGCAAGGAATGAATTCTCCCGGGATTAAGCAGGAAAACCATGGGAAGTTAGAGTGTTCCATATAATTGAGCAAACGCCTCTCCCCAGCACCACCATCTCTCTCTCTCCCCCAATCTCTCTCTCTCTCTCCCCCCCCCCCCCCCAACTCGGCGCGCTCTCTCTCTCCCTCTCTCTCTTGCTACCTACATATTCCTTTTGTTCAAGGTATAAAGAGAAACTGCAGCCCCTACCTTTGAGTACAAACCCCAAGAGAGCTCGGTCTCTATCACCATAACAACAATTCCAAACATCCCAAAAATCAGAGCATAGTCACTCAGTCGCTTCCTCTTTTCAAACAGGGCCCTCCTGTGTCCCAGCTTATAGCCAATGTTTTGGTTTTTCCGCTTGTTGGCTTTGGGGAAGGTGGTGCTGCTGGCGGTGGCGCCGGCGTGCTGGTGGTTGTGGGCAGCATTGGGGTGATGGAGCAGGGTCTGGTGGGCATGGTTGTCCTCCCGGGAGGAGATGACGATCTCCGGGGGGTTGCTGGGGCTGAAGAGCTGGAGGGGCTGGCCCTCGGGCTCAGCCTCGATGAGGTTCCTCCGGGAGGCGCTGAGCCGGCTGAGGGGCTTCATGACCCCACCGCTGTACTTGCAGGAGCTCATGGCTATCTCTGTGAAGGGGTTGCTGTCCCGCCGGTGCACCAGGGGGCTGGCCTGCCGGTGCCGGCCTCCTCCACCAGGCCCACTTGTGGCTGTGGAAGTTGGAGAGTGGCCAAGCAAGTGGTCATTGAGATTGAGCTGGCTGCCTTGCCTGGAGGAAGGGTGGAGGATGGCGGTGGAGTTGGATGAAGGGGGGCCCCTGAAAGCAGTGGGAGAGGAGTGTAGCAGGCCGGGGTGGATGGGCTGGCTCTGGAGTTGGGCGAGCTGAGACAGGGGATGCGGCTGCTGCTGCTGCTGCTGCTGCTGCTGAAGCTGCGGAGGCTGAGGCTGCAACGGGGGTCCTGGGGGCTGCTGGGGGGCTGCTGGTGGTGCTGGTGCTGGTGGCGGCGGCGGTGGCTGCTGCTGCTGCTCATCCCCGGAGGATGGACAGGGGCACTTGGGGTCTTCATCCAGGTCCCCCACCCCGGAGTCATGGAAGTGCCCAGAAGTGTCCATCTTGGGGCCTGGCTGGATTCCCTGCAGCACAACTCCCCACCCCAAAGCCACCCTCGTTCCAAAGATGTCCTCAAAGGAAGCCAGGCATCCAAGCTCCCCCACCAGAGTGTCTTGGCTCCAGTCCTCTCTCTTTGGCTTGCTCCGGTTCTCTGGGGCTGCCTGGAGTCCAGACGCTGCCACTCAAGAATGCATTGTACTGGGCAGGGAGGGAGGGCAGGAGGGGAGCTTGGAGAAAGAAGAAGAAGGGGGAAAAAGAACTCTGTCTCAGGAGGTGGTCCTCTAGGAGCGTGTGAGTCCAGGCTCAGCTTCACTCCTCGCTGGCTCAATAGCTTTGCTCTCCTCCTCCTGCCACTGTTATAGGGTAAGCCAAGCCCACTTATTAGCAGCCGGTCTCATTGGCTTGTCTTAACTCTCCAACCACCTCCTAACTCCGCCCCCCGCATAGGCTCCTCCCCGAAGGAGGGGCCTGCCGCGCTCCGCTCCCAGCCCCAGTGGCAGCGCAGCGAAGGCTGGGAAATGTAGTTTCCGCTCCCCACCCGGGAGCTGAGCAGCTGCCCTCTTTCCTCTGACAGGTATGGCAGAAAGCCGTCAGCGCACGGCGATACGAGATGTAAGCGCACGCGGGGCGGTGGCGAGGAGGAGCAGAGGTCCTCCTAAGGAGGGGAGCTGTGCATCCTGATGCGGGGGCAAGAAGCAGGAAGACAGTTATTAATGGTCAGGGTTTGCGATAGGTTGTTTCACACATATTATCCAGCTACATCCTCCAAACACGCAAGGAGGTGGGCATCGTGTTCCCATTTCACAAATTGATGCTCAGAGATTACTAACAACTTCAAGGTCACAGAAGCAGAGGGAACCCACATCCTCCTGACCCCAGGTAAATACTGAACTGCCTGCAATATGTGTGCAGGAGCATCTGTTATTTCTAATCCTCACATCAATCCTATGAAAATGATGTCATCCTTCTGCTTTTACAGATGAAACCCGTTTTTTAAAAAATCACTCAAGCACAGATAAGTAGCTTGCCAGATCTTACCCCGTTTGTAATTAAGGATGCTAGAATTCGAACTCAGCTCGGTCTGACCCCACAGCTCCTATACCATCTCCCAGGATGCCTTTCCACTGTGATGCTCAGTGCACAGTGGTTGCTCCATAAATATTGCTCAAATGAGGGGTGGAAAGAGCCAGAGAGAAGCTGTGGAGGAAGAACTGGCCTCCCCAAAGCAGGATGTGTGAAATGGACTATGGCTCCAGCTGGACTTGGAGTCATGGGAAGGTCTGGAAGGAAGACTGAAAACCCCCGTGGTCGCTCCCCACCTGATCTGCCCCATGGAGCTCTGAGAGTCAGAGCTGGGAACAGCTGCTGGCTTCCCAGGTTCAGAACCATCATCAAGTATTTATTAAGCTCCCACTGTGTGCAAAGGGAGTTCCAAAAAGATGGGACCCAGCTGAATTCATTTCCACTTCTAACGGCAGCTGACTTAGGGATCAGTGAAGAAGGGGCCATTATGGGATTCCCCAAGCACACCTGGGGTTTTAGGAGGGCGGCATCTTCCTGCCTGGCTCTTGCTTCCCCCATCACCCCTTGGCCTCTGTCCAGCTGCTTCTCTGGTAGGAAGGGGGAAGAGGAGGAGAGCCATGCATGCACACACACACACAGATACACGTATGCAGGTGCACCTATATACATAGGTGTGCACTCACTGGCCCACAAACACGTACACACACACACACACACACACACACACGCCCACACACAGTGAGGTTCTAAAGCAGTTCTGAATGGTGAGCAGCAAGTGGCCAGGTCAGGAAGGAGCAGGGCTCCCATCAAAAGAGCCCAGAGTATCCGCCGTATGCCAGTTCTCACCTCTCCAATCCCCTCTCAGTCCAAATGATTGAGAGCTAAATAGTACTTGTAAGTCACAACCCCAGAAACCTGAATAATTGCAACTACACCTGATAATCTTGATTACTGTTATTATTATCAATGACATGGTCACACCCCCTGCCACTACAAGTCATAGCGCCGGGGCTCAGACACAAGCTGGGGTCTCATGTGTTTTCTCACAACCATGCCGGCCCTCCGGTACCCTCCACCTCACCCCTTCCGGCATGCCCTGACTGCTCTCCCCTTCCCTTCTGTCTTCTTGGTTTCCCTCCATCCATCCCCAAACAGAGCCACCTGTTTGGTTCAAGGCTCCAGATCATATACTTAGGCTTAATGATTTCCTAATAAATTATCATTACTATGTCATTAGTAGCAGAAATATGCTGTTAGTATTGCTTCTCAGGGCTGGATACAGCATCTGGGCTGTGAAAAATCAATTTTTAGGGGCAGACTCCAGGTCTGGGCATTTCTGTGCTCACTCCACCGCTATGACCTGTCTTCTGCCTCAGTTGACCTTTCTGGGCCATCCCGGCTGTACCAGCTGGATCCCATAGGGACTGTTAGAATATGTCCTGCTATCATGGAGGGGGATAAGAAACACCTGGCGGGGGTGGGGGACTAAACTATACCAGAGCCAAAGCTAGAGATTCATCTGGAAATGGGCTGGAGCTTGACAGCTAATGCCACCGATGCAGCTCACGCCCTTCAATACAGCCACCCTATGGGAATGCGAAGTGAATGATATCATGGTTAGAGCTCGAGCTCTAGAGTCAGACTGCCCAGGCTGGAGCCCCTCTCTGCCATGCAATGGCTGTGTAACCACAGGCAGGATAACTACCTTCTGATCCTCAGCTTCCTACTCTATAAAATGGGAGTGATAAGGGCCCCTACATCATGAAAGTCAATAGTAGTGGGCTATCTCACCAGGCCACACACGCTGCCCAGAAGCTGGTGTGCTGGAGCTGGCTGGTACTGGCTCCTAAAAGCCAAAGGTGCATATCTCTTCCCAACTCCACAACCAGTGATGTCACACTGATAGCTTGAAATTAGTGATGATGGGAGTGTTTACACCTGCAAATCAGGGTTGACTTTTTCCTGCATGTCCAAATCCACACCTTGAAGGATAGGCTCTTCCTTCAAATAAATTATGCCTCTTAAGTCTGTAAAGATGAAGGTCAAGGGGATGTGGTGGAGTTTCTTAGCCCAGAGAAGACAAGGAAAGTGAACAAGGACATGCTCATGAAACCCAATAAGGTAATGGTGGCCTTTGGCCATACCAGCTCCACATCAGGTGTGCTGTCGCTCTGCCCCTGCCCTCCTTTCCACATTCATTCCTCACCACTTCCTTCTTTAAGCCCCAATACCACCAGCTTCTTATGGTTCCTCCAACAAGCCATGCTATTTCATACCTCCATGCCTTTGCTCACGCTTTTCCTTCTGCCTGGCAAGCCCTTCCAGTACATCTTCATCCAGCACATTGCTTTCGCCCTTCAAGACATGGCTCACAGGACTTCTTGCTGGGAAGCCTCTCCCAAGCTCCCCCATATCCAAATCAGGGGCCCTTCTCCTGTAGTTTTCAGTATCAAGCACTATAGCTGTCATCTCTTTGTGTGTTCTTTTCCTCCTAGACTGTGACCTCTGTGAGGGCTGGAATTATGTCTTCTCCATCATCGGACCTGCAGCTCTTACACAGAGCCTGGCATATAACAGATGCTTAACAAAGATTCATTGAACTGAACTGAACTGAACTTGAAACCTTGGCGAGGTCATTTTGAGGCAAATAAGAGGAAGTCATAGTGCTTTCCACACAAATAATAATTTCCCCCATCAGTAAAATGAATGTGATAGAAGAGATGATTTCTAAGATCCCTCAGCTTTAAAATCCCATAATCTGTGGTCCGTGGAACTTGTTACCCCCAAAACATAGAACTGACTGAAAATGGGTTTAAGAAAAGGAATGATATATGGTTTATATAGCTGTCTTTCCCACTAAGCTGTAGACTTCTTGAGCACAGAGAAGGGGTCTAATTTTTTCTGTATCCCCAGCACTGATCAGGGTTATCTGGCTGTGGATATACTCATTATAGGTTTATTGGATAGATGGATGGATGGATGGATGGATAGATAGGTGGATGGATGGAGTTTAGATACAATGACAGACAATAGCGGGATTTTTAGAAAAGCTAGTGGTGGTTAAGGGCTATCCTTAACCTTCTAAGAATAGAAGTATCTTAAAGATCAACGACACCTCCCTCAGACCCTGGATGGTTGGGTCAGAGACAGCTCTGCGCTGAACAGTTCATTAGCCCATTCAGATTCAGTCATTATTGTGTTCTTAACTAGGAGCTCTGTTACAGAATCAGTTAATGTTTTTAAAATAAAAACAACCCCTGTATTTGCTAGCACTTTACAGTTTTCCAACTGCTTTCACATAAAGTACTCCATTTGCACTTCCTGGCAGCCCTGGAAGGCAGGCCAGGAAGGTTCTATTGCTCCATCCATTACACTCTCGCCCCCATAAACTAAAGTATAGAAAGGTTGAAGTGACTCACTCAAGGCCACCAGTTAGTCGTGGATTTCAACCTGGATCCTTCTGAACCCTAGACCCATGCTCTTTCCCATTCCCCATTTGTGCTGCCCGGAATGCCACTTCACCCCTCACTTGGTGTCCAGTCCCACTAGAATTTAAGGATAGCACAGTGATGCCTCCACCCAAAGCCTTCCCACACCTCCCCTCCTCTGCTCCTTCCCCCTAATTTGACATCATCTTCCTCTTCTGAATTCCCTTAGCACTTTATTTGTATCTCTCTGGGGATACTTTTCACCTCTTGCCTTGTACTGGAGTTCTCTGTATACATGACTTTTCTCCCCTGTTTTTAATTTACACCATAAGCTCCTTGGGGACAGGAGCCGGTGGTGTGGATTGTAAAACACACACACAATACTACACCTCACCCCACACCCAGATTATGTGTTAAATCTGGACGTGAGTGAGTGAATTGATGCATGAATGAGAGTTCAGGGCATTCTGACCCTGGACACAATGCTTACCCCTTACCTGCACCACTGGCCACAATGAACGCCGATCTGTAAGTGTAGGTCTCTCATCCATGCTTCTTTTCTCTGAGTCCCTGAACATCCAGACCCGGGGTGAGGGCTCTCCTAAGTAAAGCCCACCCACCCTCCCCCAGGTCATGGCAGAAAGAGTGAGACAGGACCACAGCACATCCCACCTGCCTCCAGGGCACCCACCAACCGCTCTTAGCCACCAATGGCAGCTTCACACCATTTCCTCTTTGCTGAAGAAAAACTGAAACTTTTGTGCTTCGTATGGGTCTCGCTACAAAAGAGACGTACAGCTCAACATCTCACACCCCGGTGCATTCACTGAAAGCCTGCTCTGTGCAAATGTGGTCCCAACAAGCTAGTGGAGTTAGATTAGTATCCCCATTCTACAGATGGGGAAACTGAGTTAAGTTCTAGAGAAGGCAACTGGTTTGCTCTTGTTCTCAAAGAAGGGAAGAGGCCACGCCATGAGCCAAACTGGACCGTCCACTTGCAGGTCACCTCTCCACTCAGTCACCACCACTGGGCTTCTTCCCCTTCCAGAGGAAAGATTCCTCCTGCCCTCCACTCCTACCCAGGTTCTCCAGGAAACCCCCTTTGACAAAAGGAGTGGGGGAGGTTTCAACAGAGCAGCTCCACTGAGACCTGTCTGAAAGAAGGGTGACGATTTTGCTCCAAAAACTTTGTGGCAGGCAGGGCTGGTCCTGGACATGGAGAGAAGATGGAGTGGAGCAGGCAGGCAGGGGTGCCGGGAGCAGCCTTGGGCTGGAACTCCAATACATGAGCTTTAGAGCTGCCATCTTCCTGCCGGTGACCACACGGCACCACTCTGAGCCCGTAAAACTGGACCCATTCATGCCTCCCTCCGTGGTTGTTTTGTGAAAAACGAGATACATTTTTAAATGCTTCTCCTCACCACTTCTCCATGGCTTTGGTGAGAGAACTTGCTGTTCTGGCCAGATGGATCAGTCCAGATGGGAACATTTATTTGAGGGGGTCCAAGGTTAAATAAAAGGTGCTGATACAGTATCTGGAAAGAACGCATGAGAAATGGGTACAGGGCACCAACATCTTGTCACCATGAGGCCTTGCCAGGCTCACAGGGAGCTGGTATAGGGGCACACACTTTGCAAACTGTAAAGTGCTACGTGTGTGGACTGGGCAAGTGCAAGGAGCTTGGTGGACCTTGGTGGCTGGGGGAGAGCCCATGTAGACCCGTTTGGCCAGGGCTCAGCATCTGAGCCTCATCCCTAGAGCCAGCGCAGGTCCAAAGGCCTGTCTGCTCAAGGCTAAGTCAGTGGAGAGAGCCCGTCACTGGCCTGTCCTGGATGGGTGGGTGTCCACGCCCAGCCCCACACTGTGTAGATGATGACACCCTGCCCCCCAACCAGAGATTCAGCTTCCTGAGGGTGGAATCTCTGTCTGTTTTATTCACTGCTGAATCCCCAGTGCCTGGCACAGCACATGCTCTCAATTAAGATTTACCGATTAAGTCAGCTTCCTGGTCTCAGTCCCAAAAGGCTCAGAGAAAAAAAAAAAATTACCTCTAATGGTTTCCCAAACCCAGAGCTGGCACCTGAGCTGCCCAAGAGAAGGTCAAGAACCAGGGCAGCCGCAGGCCCCAGGCACCAAGGGACACAGCAGCACTCTGTAGCCTTGGATGAACCACCCTCCTACAGTTAGGGTCGAGAGTGAAGGACAGATCCCCGGAGCCTGGCTGGTGACTTGAGCCCGAGCCTTCTGAGCCAGCCGGTGCCATCAGCCTCTTCCCAGACTCCAGACTCCAAGGTCCTGGCAGCCCCCCGCCCAGCTCTGGCTCTGAGATTGAGGCCCCAGCTGATGCTTACCCGGGGCGCACCCACCTGGGGCACAGCAACCTGTGGCCGGTTTGTGAGGAGTGTGGCGACCTCTGCTGGTGGCACGTGCACATAGCTCTGCACTCCAGGCACCTTGGGAGGCGTGGAGGGAGATCCCCAAAGGGAACTGCGCCCGTAACTTTCTGCCTCCTTCCGTGGAGACTCGGGGACTACATCTGGTGCCAGGATTTACCTTTGTGAACATTTTGCAAAGGTAGCCTCTATTTGGCAGGTTCTTCGAGCTTTTCCACCATAGGGAAAGAACATATTACCCCTATTATCTGTCCTAGGTAAGCCAGCATAAAACCGTTGAATGAGAGGGTTGGAAGGGACCACAGAGATGCCTAGGGCCCAGCCTTACTAGCAAGAGAAGACCCCCAGAGATGGGAGGTGACTTGCCTAAGCTCACATGTGAGTTAAGGACAAAGCTGGGACTCGAATCAGGATCCCCTTGATGTGATGTGTCCCTTTCAGGGGGCCTATCATCTCTCAGTAGCTGTTGGACACCCAACAGCACAGCTCACTACATCCCTCCTGCTGTCTCACTGCGTACATCCCAAACTCAAGCTCCCAGCTACATGTCCACTCCAAGTCGCTGCTATTAAATGAGAAAAAGTCCCCTCTCCCCACACCGCTTTCACAGGGCAAAGTCAGCAGCCAAGGCCTTCCGCGCCCAGCACTCCGATATGAATAATGCAAAAGGGCAGGAATCTCGCTGCCTTCCTGCCTTCCTTCTCTCCTGGTAAAGGTGAAAGCTGGAGGGTTGCTATGGACACTGCACTCAGTCTCTCCCTCCTCAGTAATAATCCGTAGCCGCCCTCCCTGCTGGAGTCTGAGTCTCTAATTGCCTAGCCTCAGAGGCAGCAGGATGCTTCACAGGAGATACCAGGCAGCTGGAAGAGCCTGAGGATTAGATGCGCTAAGTGGGAAGGAGAGAGTGACAAGATGGAAATCACCTGAAATTGGAGGCAACAAGCTCAACCTGTGTAGGTAGATCAACAAAACCAATGCCAATTTAGCCAGAATTAGAAGAGCATTAGTGTCTTAACAGGATCCCCATCAAATCCGACACTTAATCACTATGGCCAGCATCTCTCAGGCAGGACTCTGAGAGGAGGGAAGGGAGAATCTACATCCCATGGCTGTGTGCATGAGCAGTGTCTGAGGGAAAGACTTCGACAGCCCTTTTGCTCTTATATAAAAACAAACATGGGTCCAGGAGATTTTCTGAGCTGGACTCCTGGACCCCCTGCTGCCCTGGGTACAGAAGCACCTCATCTCCCCACTGCCACACAGCCCCCTTCATTTATCCTCCCCTGGAGATCAGATCATTATCACCACTACTAGTTTCCCCACCATGAGAACAGATCATGCGCGCCCCCCATTAGGATCCCACCAGATGACCAGAGAACTATCACCTCTAGTCCTGTCTCTGCCATGAGAACCACAGTGTATCCCCTCTATGAACAGCCCCTCTGAGAGATCAGGACGCCATTGCTGCTATTCTTGTCCCCACCCTGAGACGAGCATTTTTTCTCCACTATTGGGCTCTCCACCATGAAATCAGAACATTGTCATCTCTATCCATGTCCCACGGCTGCCCACCTACACATCAGACCAGGTCACCAAGACCACGAGATTCCATACAGCCATGAACTCAGGTCCAACATGGAGCATGCTTTGTTTTCAACCAAAAGCCACACACTTCTGGGAAGGATAGCTGGCTTCATCCTCCAGTGCCCACAGTGGCCACAAGGAACCTTTAAAGAGAGGGCCTACGGGAAAGCACATTGGGCACTACAAGTCACTGAACACGTGCATTGGTGGCTAGAGTGGCCTTCTGGAGGCTGGGCTTGTCTCAGAGCTCAGCCATTAAGAGGATAAAGTTAGCTTTTCTGTGCCCTGACCACCACTACAAAAAACCCCCTCCCCACATTCATTAATCCTGGAGGAAGCGTGTGAATGAACCAGGGAAGCCCCAACTCTATCCCCAAAGACCCTTCAGATGGATAGATATAGATACAGATAGAGACCTAAACACATACACACACATACACATATATGTATACACATGGGTTTATACATATATACTTTCTTTTTTTTTTTTTTTTTTTTTGTGGTACGCGAGCCTCTCACTGTTGCGGCCTCTCCCGTTGCGGAGCACAGGCTCTGGACGCGCAGGCCCAGCGGCCATGGCTTACGAGCCCAGCCGCTCCGTGGCATGAGGGATCCTCCCGGACCGGGGCACGAACCCGTGTCCCCTGCATCGGCAGGCGGACTCTCAACCACTGCACCACCAGGGAAGCCCCATATATACATACAGTTTTAAAAGGCTGAAAAAGATTGATGAAGGGAGGGATCAAAAACTTTTCCAAACCCCCACATTTACCACTATTTCTCTCATTTTTTAATTTCTGCCATTAAATACAGTGAAGCAGAACAGAAAGCTGTTTCTCCCCCAGACTTATAAGGGAAATTCCAAGACTTACCCTGAAAAGAGGGCCATGAGGTCACCCCAGGAAGTGGGTTCAAGGCACTCAGCTGGGCTCACACACTAGCAGTGACTCACTCCCAACACTGACTTTATAACAAGTGGAACTCCAACCCACACCTCAGGAGAACCATAAATCACCCACCATCCTGGACCACGGGGCACTCAAAGATAATCCTTGTCACAGACGTTGGGGCCAGAATGCTGGGGGTCTGCAGTGCTAGACAGGAGGAGGCCCAGCCACTGCTGGCTGGATACTTAGTGCAGTGACAAATTCCCCACTGATGGGAGCCACAGCCCAGCCTGGGACTCCCTTTTCCAGTCTAGAGCCTCTGGTAAGTTTTTCTAACAAAAGGAAAGACATCAAAGAAGTGGGGAGACCTCAATTTTGGAAAGTGCCTACGAGCACAGGACCCCTACACACATGAGATCAGGTGGGCCGCCAGCCTAGTCCTTCCAGACCTGGCCTCTGCCCTCTACCTTGGGAATCTTCCCTGCCTGCTAATGAGCTCAGTGGACTCTCTGGAGGGTCAAGAGAAGAGAGAACATTTTCATTCTGGGTTTCCAGGCTGCCTGTCATTGGATGGGGAGAAGAGGGCATGTGGGCTGCTCAAGGACACTTCTTCCCTTGCCCCAATAACAGGCCTGGATCATAGTTCAGAAACCGATTCAAACAACAGTTTGGGGGCACCTCCCAAGCCCCAGACATCAGGCAGCCACTTCTCACTGACCCTCTGACCCTCTGCCAGGCA